ACAAATGGTGCTGGCAAAACTGGATCTCGACCTGTAGAAGAATGAAACTAGATTCTCATCCTTCACTTTGCACAAAAGTCAACTCGAAATGGATCCAAGACCTCAATGTGAAACTGGAAACCCTGAAACTATTAGAAGAAAATATTGGCAGTAACTTACAGGATGTAGGTGTAGGAAAGGATTTTCTAAATCAGACAGAAGTTGCTCAGGAGTTAAGGTCAGCAATCAACAAGTGAGGCCTCATTAAACTAAAAAGCTTCTGCACAGCAAAAGAAATTATCAAAAAGGTGAAGAGAAAACCCACGAAATGGAAAAAAATCTTCACCAGTGACACATCTGACAGATCTGACATCCAGAATATATGAAGAACTCAAAAAACAAAGAATCGAGAAACCAAATGACCCAATTAAAAGATGGGCTAAAGCTGGGCGTGGTGGCGCATGCCTCCCAGCACTTGGGAGGCAGAGGCAGGTGAGTTTGAGGCCATCTTGGTCTACATATTGAGTTCCAGGACAGCTGGGGCTACAGGGAAACCCTGTCTCAAAAAGACCCCCCCCAAAAAAAGATGGGCTATAGCCCAATATCTAAACAGTGTTCTCAAAGGAAGAAATAAAGATGGAGAAAGAAACATCTCAGAAAGTGTTCAACATCATTAGTAATGATGGAAATGCAAATTAAAAAACCACCCTAAGGTATCACCTTACCCCAATCAGGCTGGCTAGGATCAAGAGAACAAATGATACCAAATGCTAGCGAGGATGTAGAGAAAGGGGGATGCTCATTCACTGCTGGTGGGATTGCAAACTTGTGCAGACTCTATGGAAAACAGTGTGGAGAACTCTTAAAAAACTACAAATGAACCTATCATATGACCTGGTTATACCACTCCTTGGCATACACCCAAAGGATTCATCCTATTGTAGAGGCACTTGTACAACCATGTTTGTTGCTGCTCTTTTCACAATAGCTAAGAGATAGAAGCAACCTAAGTGTCCCTCAACTGACAAGTGGTTAACAAAAATGTGGTATATTTACACAAAGGAATTCTATACAGCAGGAAAGATAAAACAATGAAATTTGCATGTAAATGGATGGATCTAGAAACTGTTATACTAAGTGAAGTAATACAGACTCAGAAAAACAAACGATGTATGTTCTCCCTCATATGTGGCTCCTAGCACCAAATCCCTTTAAATTCCAGGTCCTTTTCATAAGATGATGCTATACAGCAGTCCCTTCTGCATGAAATAACTACCATCATCAAGACTTCGGCTGAGTCTGATCACTAAACATAGTCACAATTGGGCTTGTTGATGGCTGTACTCATTCATTAAAGGAGTGCCAAGCAGGGTCACTGGACCCTCACCTGAATATCCTGCTACTCTTCCCAGCCAACTAGTCCAGCCTTGGAAAAGAAAAATGAGGAAGAACCCAATAGAAGGATGTTTTTGGCAGCCCTTGTCAAGAAATTCCAACGGATTCTCATGTGAACATTTGAAAAATTGCCCTCTTCTGACTTTTTCTAGTTCCCTGTCTAAAACTTGTAATGCCAATTACTCTTGCCTTTACTTCTCCTCTACATCTCCCATTCATGATTCAATGACTTTCTTCTCCCTTTAGAGACAAAAGTTATGCAATTTGGGAGTCTCCAATTGCCTCACCCTGTGTCCCTGTTCAGCATGGAAGAAGCCAGAGCAGTCTGCATCCCTATTCCCTATTGTCAATTTGGGTAACCCCTTCAGAGGAGGTATGATAAGAGGAGGTAGGAATTGGCTAGGCAGTTAGGGTAAAAATACCCCAAAGAAATGTAGCCAGTTTCTTGGCTAAATGTCAAAATGTCCTTGGGTCTGTTAGCAACATACTCTGTTCCAAGGCCAAAAATGTCAAAAGTATTTGGGAGCTTGTATCCAAATCCTTAAAAGGGTTACCTCTTCAGAGAGGGGAATGTTGGAGAGGAGGGAGTGGGCATGGATTTGATCAAAACACCTTTTATATGCATGTATGAATTCTCAGTAAAGTTTTTGTAAAAATTAAAAGAAAAAGAATATAGTACAGAGAAATCTAAAACATATGAAAGAAACTTCAATATAAGTAAAGAAAACTCAAGAGTAAAGAATAGAGGACTTAGGAAACAGTTTTCAACAAAGTAATAACCTCATTTTCTTAGTCAAGAAGAATCAGGAGAATAAAAATATAAGCTAAACATGATGTTCAAAATAGAATGTGGAAGTCAATCAAGGGGAGAAAATGGACTCACGTTCCTTATAAAATGGGTGTTTTAAAATGTGTCCATGTATGCCTTCTGGCTAGCCACCACTGATGGAGATGCAGCTGCAGCTGTAAAGTCCTCAACTCACCAAACTTCTGCAAAAGTGGGCTCAGTGCAGCTCAATTGTTGAAAGTAGTCAGAAGATCCAAACTACTTAGGTTAATTGAATCCTGGATTTAAAATTTTTTAAGTTTAGCCAAATCACACAATATGTACTACACTGCCTTTTTTTTCCCCCTTAATTCCTATCTAAAAGTGCTGATTTTTCTAACATAATTAATCTGGCCATAAAGTGCCTGGAATGTACTGTGATGACAAGAACCCCATCTTGTGGCAAGTGTTTCCCAGCCTGTGTTTGGCTATCTTCTGTATTGCATTCCTATTCAGGAGATAAATCTGTGTTGAGAAGTTATCATTTTATCTGCTTCACCAGACAAAATTTCTAAGCCGGCATTTATCTTGTGTCTGCAACAGCACCAGCATTCGCAGTAAATCTGTAGAGCATAGTAATTTGGGGCTTTGTGAGTTATTTTCAGATGAAAGCTGGTAGTCTCTGCACAGCTTACTGCAGGAATATTTTAAGAGGAAAGCAAACACTGGCATTGAGTTTAGCTTCTGAAATATCATCCGTGTATTCTAGAGAGGCTTCCAACATTCTGTTCCTACAAGATGAACTGACTCTGCTAAAGCAATTACAAGAAACCCCTCAAATCCACAACCAATGACACCTGAGCTATCACCCCACAGAAGCCACCTCCCAGGGCACTCTTCTATTCCCCATCATTGAGTTACTGTTCAGTTTTTATTCAGAAGGGGTTTTTTAGTGAATTTCTTTTCCCTGTCTAATTTAAACAAGAATAAACACTCTTTATCTTCTTCAATATGAACACCTACTCAGTGCCTTCTCTCACTGTCTAGAGCATTTCCCTGAAGAAAATCTGAAAGTTATTCAAAAGCTAAAAAGCATAATATAGTAATATGCGAGCGTGTCTGCCTATTACTGCTACTATTGTTAGTTCTGAAAAACAGAGTACTGAGGAGTATCAAATACTTAACTATCCACCTCCTCAACTGCAAACCCATCAAAGTCCAGTTCACGTTAAGTCATGAAAAATGAAAACATTTCTGTCCTGTCAAAATCAGTCTAAAAGGATTTTAAGAAGGACAGTAGATTAATATTAAAACTTTTTATTTATTAATGTCGCATAAGAAATTTAAGCATGTTACACTATCTTAAAAAACACAACTAGAGCATCTTAAAGAGAAACCCTTCCCCCACCCTAGCCCCGCCAGTCCCCAATCCCCTCATGAATAATCTAAAAGAAGTAGCCAACCAGAAAACAGCTTTGCCAACCCTCCTTCCAGAGGGCTTACATGATGGTTATGTTAATATTGCCTGTTTATAAAATGTTTCTTCTCTTTTCTGTTTAAAAAAACTTTGTAACCTTGATTGCTTATTACAAAAAATTTTCATATAAAAGTTCAATATATTGAAAAACACTTTCCCCCCTCCCTCACAGCACCGTTTTATATATAGCAAAGAATGATCAAGAGCAGACTGCCCATCTACACAGAGCAATCTTCACAAATTAAACCCGGACAGTGGTTTACTTACCCTCCCTCCCCTTCTTAAAAGAACAACAACAACAAAAAAATTACATACACACATACAAAAATCAAAAAAAAAAAAAAAAATTAGGACCTTTTCCAAACAGTACAGTTAGTTCAGTGTCAATAATTCACATCTTGCAACAAAGTGTATGGATAGGATATCTTTTACAAAACTTTCAGTGTCAAAAAGGAAATTAAGGCCATCAGATTCGCAGCTTAAAAATTCACATAAAGGAAATATAAAAATATTCTGTGCTTCTGAGAAGGCTCTGCACTGTATACAGGTAAGGATTACCATGCTTCTCTGTCTTGGGGAAGACAGCCGAATTGAGAGGTTTACATGATGGCACAGCTTCTATTGGATGCTCTTGGTGCTCCCTGAGGAGGGGGGGAAAAAATAGAAGGAAAAGTTAGTACGAAGCAAACAGATTACAATATTCTAAAACACAAACTCTTTCAACTACAGTGCTGCCAAAAGTCTGCATTATCTAACTTAAAATGAGCTCTTTCACTTCTTACCCTTTTTAGACACTAAGGACTTCTTCCCTAGAATACTCCAACAAGTTCCACAACTGATTCTCAACTCTAGCTGCACAATTTTATTTAAAAAAACAAAACATTTAACAACAACAAAAATTCAATCTAGGTCCACAGAACAACTAAGAATTTCTCACATAACATTGTAACTTTAAGTAACTCTTTCTTTTTTTAATATTTTATTATTTTTATTTTATGTGTATGTGTGTATTGCCTGCATGTCGTTAAGTGCACCCGTGTCCTGCAATGTTGGCGGAGGTTAGAAGAAGCTGTCAAATCCCCTGGAACTGGAGTCACAGACAGTTGTTAGCTGCTGTGTGTGTGCTGGGATTCGAACCCGGGTCTTCTTCAAGAACAGTCAGTGTTCTTAACTACTGAGCCATCACAGCTGAAGCTGAAATGTTGCCAAATATTATTCCAGCTGAGGCTCCATGGCAAGACTGCCTCAAAAATTAAATAAAAAAATTTAAAAGACAGCTGGACTGGGACATTGTTCAGTGTAGAGCACTTGCCTATCGAGGGGAAATGTAGCTAAAAGGACTCTGGACAATCACACCAGCACAGCACAAGCTGGCTCTTCAATTTCCACATCCTCACTTCAGAGGATTCATCCTCAAATGTGAAATCAAAATGGCCTCCATCCATTAACTCCTTCAAACCATATGACTTGTAACTCACTAGACTAAAACTGGTTTCTTGAAGGTCACCAAAAACTGCAATTCCAAGGGCACTGGATTCATCATTCAATGAACTTCATAGCTGTCCTATCTACCCTTTCTTCTGAACTTCGGTATCATAGCCATCCCTATTTTCCGTGATCACACAAGCTCAAAATCTCAAACCTTTAACTTCTTTTTCTCTTATCGTTTTAAGTTTTGGGTTTTTTTTTTGGGGGGGGGGATGACAGGATATCCTTGTAGCCCCTGCTGGTCAGGAAATCACTATGCAGACCAGGCTAGCATGGTCTCACAGAAATCCACCTGCCTCTGCCTCCCAGGTGCTGAGATTAAAGACATGCCCCACCACACCCAGTTTGTCACAAATCTTAAGGAGTTTGAATTCACCTACTTCCTCAGTGGCTCTAGACTCAAGCCCTAATACGGTTTGCCCAGAAATATTCTGAAAGATAATGGTTCTTTTTTTTTGGTCTTTTTGAAGCAGGTCTCCCTGTAGCCCCAGCTGTCCTGGAACTCACTATGCAGACCAGGCTGGCCTTGAACTCAAGAGATCCACCTGCCTCTGCCTCCCAAGTGCCCGGCTTAAGGTAATGGTTCTTAATTTCTCCTTTGCATCAGACTGTGTAGAAGCTACAAACCTAGGAAACTCAGGCTTTATCAGCTTAAAACCAGATTTCACTTTCTCTCTCCCACAAACCTGGTAAAAGTCCTAGAGGAAATGCCAACATCAGCCAAAATTACAACTGAATGCAACTTCTGGCGGAGAACTAGCTGGCTGAGCCCAGTCAAACCGCAGAGTCATGGGAAGTAAGAAGTAACAGTTTTTAAGTGCCCTCCCCCCACCACATCCCCCTCACCAGGTTTGGGAGTGCTCTACTAATAAGGAAGCAACTGAGAGTTATCTATTCTTTCTCTAACACCCAAATTATTTACCGTCCTTCAAAATACTACCCAAGCATCTTTTTCGAGAACTTTTCTCTAATATACCAGAGGCCTAGAAAGCCTTCTCCTGTGTCAGACCTGCCAAAATTCATGTAGATCACTGGTCTTCAAGAGTTATTTTACCTCTAATCACCATGTTTCCTTTAAGGACAGGAAATCGATCTTATGCTTGTTATTCATTAAAGCCAAGTATAACATACCTGTTCTTAAAGTCAACAAAATGACAACACATCCAGATTTAAATTAAAAATTCTACCTCATGCAACCCACCTCAAATAATTCAACACAAGTAGAGGGTGAGAGAATGCCTGTTTAGAGCAGGACTGGGGTAAATGAAGCAGGGCCAACTAGATTATAAATCTGGAGATGAGATGTTATCAGGGTAGGTTAAAGACTGATTAATGATCACATTCAAACAGCTTGAGAGTATAAACTGAGGGCTCATTAGTTATATTAATAGTTCCAAATTTAATGAGTTAAAACTGAATCTGGAGTCTCTTTATTTCAAGGGCTCTCCAAAGCTTAAACTATCATTTAAACTATCTTGTAATTACACAATGATTAGGAATTTAATGTAGCAATTTAGTATTACTTTGTTTTTTGTTTTGAGTTTACATGCAAATACTTGCTCTAATTTAGTAGCACAAATTTCACAAAACTCAACATCAACAGTAAATAAGTTCAAGGCATAGAACCGAATTCATGCCTTTGTATGTGAGTAACAGGTATGTCCAGCACAACGCATTATCTACAACAGAAAACAAAAGACAAAGGCTGAAGTTTGAGAGAATGAGAAAAATGAAGAGGGTAAGTGGCCTTTCACCAGCACCCAAACTCGCCACCTTGTGTGTTTACACCCGGACAGGTGGAATGCCCGCCACTGCTCAGTCATTCATCTAAAGGAAACACACAACAGGTTTGCAGGTAATTATGTTCATAAAAATTAAAAGCAAAAATATTACAATGAAGGGATACCTGCTGGTGGAAAAGCTCCTCCTCAACTGCCACTCCAACAGGCTCCTCCTCTTCTTCCTCCTCTTCAGGTACAGTTGTTTTAAAGACTGTACTTCTTTGAGCAACCTCCTAAGAACAAGAGAACTAAGGTTAAAAAGAACCCTCACAACCACAAGACAACGGCAGAAGGACGGACCTTCCCTTTGCTTAAGAAGCAACATTTCCTCTATCAGGTGTTTTATAAGCCAGTTCATCAGGAGCATAAACTGGTGAATTTTTTGCACAAGTAGTAGCAGTTAGTAGATCTTCCATGTTCCCTGCAGGGAGCCACTGGTATCCAATCTGAAATACCTGCTAGGTAGGCAGTTTCCAATGTTAGGAATTCTGTGCAAGTGATTGGGCACATTAATTCTTTATAAAAGTGTCAAATAAATAAATGCTGAACACAAGGGTACTGGAGGCCAGCTGTTGCAACCTCAAGGACCACCTGGGTAGTGGGATGACAAAGACAAGCTCCTTTTACTCCTCTAGAAGGAACTGGAATCATGATGGATTAGCACTAACTGCTAATAACATACCAGGGAGGCCCTGATAGACTCTGTACTGAAACATCTCCGAGTATTTGCAGAGGTTCAACAGAAAGTAACTACGGTTTCCATTTCCTATTAGAAAGCTCAATTCAGACTCTTTTCCCAGAGAAAATGCTGACCTGGGCAAATGCTACAGTGTTTTAAGCACAAGGCTAACCTGATGATCTGCAACTAGAGAACAAGCGTGCCCTAGAGTGCTGTCCAGCAACTTATTTTATCCTGTACCCTGTACGAAGGTCATTCAAGAAAGATAACTCCACAGCAGAATTACCTCAGCAAACACGTATCTGGAATTTAACACAGACTAGCTAGTTTAAAATGAAAGAGAAAGAAACCCTAAAAACAGTGTCACAAAGAGGGGCTTCAATGTGAAATAGGCATCAGGCTATATTTTGTAAACTAAGGTGGTAAGAGGATTTTGTGGGACTTTGATTTGTGCAGCAGTTGGACTGAGGAAGCTGGGGGGTCTCTGGGGGTCTCTCAATCAGAAACTTCAATTCTGAGAAATCACTCTTTACAAACACAGACATTGCACAACAACCGTCAGTTTGTTTTAATCAAATGAGTAATATGAGAATAAACATCAAATGCAGTATCTTTTTAAAATAATTTTTTCTATTTTATGTGTATGCATGTATTGCCTGCATGTAGGTAGTGTACCCATGTCGCACAATGCCCACAGAGGTCAAAAGAGGCTGTCGGATCCCCTGGGACTGGAGTTAGGGACAGTTGTTAGCTGCCATGTGGGTGCTGGGGTTTGAACCCGGGTCTTCTGCAAGAACAACCAGTACTTTTTTTTTTTAATATTTTACTTATTATTTTTATTTTATGTGTATGCATGTATTGCCTGCATGTATGTGAGTTTACCCGTGTGGTGCAATGAGGCAGAGGTCACAAGAGGGTTTTGGATTACTCTAGAACTGGAGTTAAGGACGGATTGTAGCCATCATGTGGGCACTGGGAATTGAACCCAGGTCCTCTGCAAGAGCATTCAGTGCTCTTAACTGCTGAGCCATCTCTCCAGCCCACAACCAGTGTTCTTAATCACTGAGCCAACTCTCCAGCCCTCAAATTCAGTATCTTTAAACCAAGATATCAACTAGGAAATGGGAACATATAAAACAGGAATGAGTCTCAACAAACTTTGCCAGACACCCAGCTTTTCTCAACTCATTAAACTGAGGAAGGAAGACCAAGAAACACTCCTACGGCAAATCTACCTTCCAGTGCTCCAGCAGAGTGCACATCCTGCATGCAGAGTGCCTCCCGATCACCCTCAACGAGAAGCCTAGAAAATAGCAACTTCCTTCAACCTAACTACTACTATACATGTAAGCTTGCTGGCAAGCACTTTGCATTAGAAAACATTAGGAAACCAATTAATTTAATACAGACAGCCTATATGGAAAATGAATAAGCTTATGTCCAAAACTCTAGATAGAAAATAATTATTAAACATTTTAGTCAAAACATTATTGGGAGGTTTAACACCTAAAGAAGTCAGTATTCAAGATGCCAACACACAGATCCAACTCTCAGCAAGGTCCCCAAGTATAATCAAGCATCCAGAAGGGTACAGAGTCTGAGTGACAGGCTGTACTCCCCTGTAAACATATCATTGAACTGGGTGTGGCAGCGTATGCACACTTGCAGTCCTAGCACTCATGAGGCTGAGGCAGGAGGACTGCAGAGAATTTAAGGCCAACCGAGGTAACATAGCAAGACCCTGTCTCAAAAAGAAGGAAGAGAGGCAGAGAGAGATAATGGAGAGGGAACAGAACAGTATCATTGGCCTATCCCCACTCAAAGCCGTGGGCACAGATGAGTCCATACACAGATGTGTTTGGGGTTCCCAGGGGCCAACTGACACCAGCTGACTGTACTTATCTCTTCATGACTCTTATCCACTCATATCCCGGGAGCTTGATGTCACCAGAGAGGATTTACATTAAAGAAACCAGCTGATGGGGTATTTTTTGACAGAGACAACTATAAACATACTATGTATGTCTGAATATGTAATATTCATATACACAGAAGTTCAAAGAAGTATAGAAGACTGCTTTATTTTTTATTTTCTGGTTTTAATCACCTACCATCATTCCCTTCATGTCTAACCTTGTCTTCCAGCATGGAACACATGTGGGTCACAGGAGTCATGAACAATCTAGCAAAGGAAAGCCTTCAAGGGCCAATTCTCTCTTCCTGTTCAGAGACAGCATGTAACTAAGTAGGTGTAGTAAAACCAAGGCCCAGGGCTGGAACCTCCCAAGGAGAAATGACCCACAAGAAGAACTGGGATAGGATGATGTACTTCTGGAAGCAGCCAGCAGCTATCCTGCATCTCTGAGGGAAGCAATCCAAGCAGGAGAACCAGATCCTGTAAGCCACTGCATCAAGTCTCCTACCTCTAATTTTCTTATTATGTGAGCCCCCAAATTTCCCATGCTAAAAATCAGTTTAACTATTTTCTAATAGTACTAATATCTCAACAAGAAAAAGCATATAAAAAACGAAAGTGATTTAAGCTGCTTACCTACAAATCTTACAAAAATCGACTCTCTATGGTAAGTATAAACTATTCCTAATACAGTCTGGTACCTACAAATAAATGAACTTGGACATGCAGAAATAAATGATTAAAAGCCCAGTTATTTATGCAATTATCAGAGAAAATAAGAACCATACTAACAGTATTTCATCTCATCTTTGACAGAAGTTACTTCATATAGAACCTAGCAAGAATGCAAGATTGGATAAGCAAAACAACCCAAAAATGTTCAGTGTTTTAATTACAAAGGGAAAGTTTCAGTCCCCTGTACAGAATGAATCAGTAGTAATGCTTCAAGACACATCTACACCATGATACCTGCTGCTTCCAACATGAAACCCCTTTCCACACAGGAGAAAAATGGTGTTAAGTAGCGACTACATTTCATGGCTGACAGAAATACAATTAATTTCCATGTGTCTCTACAGAAGTTTTTTGAAGGAGAGCAAAGCATTACTCTTTAACAATGTTTTGGGAGAGATACAATCTGCCAAGTTCAGCTGTCAGGGGGAGCTACCAGAAGTGAGGCCAGAAGTGAGCAAGAGCTTCAGTGGAGAGCAGTTTGTAACTTACTGGCACTAGGTGCACATTCCCCCACTACCCTGAAAACCCAGACTGTATTTGGAGATGAACTGTCCAAACAAATCCCCAAAATCTCCCAACTGGACTAAGGTGTACAATGAAAACTCAGATGCCATTTCATTTCCAGTATGCACGCGAGAAAGCTCCCCACGCAGCAAACAGTGCTTATTGTGAGTGCAGGATGGGAAGGTGGCGAAGAACAGGGCTTCTTATTCACCTCAAATTCCCATCATTTAGCTTATTTTTCTGAACTTAAGTAAAGGTCCACGTCTGGTTTTTTAAACATTCCTACTGGGAGTGAGGAGATGGCTCAGTCAGTCAAGTGCTTGTCAAGCAAGCATGAGGTTGTGATTTTAATCCCCAGTACCCACATAAAACAGGCAGGCGGGAATACTGCTGTGCCCCTGCAATCCTACTGGTAGGGATGGAGACAGGAGGATCCCTGGAGCTTTCCGGCAGCCAGCACAGCCTAATCAGTGACCTCAGGCTCAGGAAGACCTATCTCACAAAACAAGGTATATGGCTCCTAAAGAACAATAGCCAAAGCTGACCTCTGGCCGCCACGTGCTCAGACACATACACAAACTATAACTACTAAATGAACCTTTCATGTGTCGGGTATGATGGTCAGGGTCAGAGTAAACCCCACCTACACCTAGCAAGCACCTTGGGAGGTTTGAGTTGGTGCTCTAGGGGCAGAGAAGGTGCTCCTAAGGGACACTAACTTCACCACCCGCCCCCCGCAACTCCTTCCTCCACACTTTCTCTTGGCTTTCCAACATTGCTCTCCTAGTTTTCCTCCTGCTTCACCTTCTTCCTTTGCTGTAAAAATTCCTAAAAATGTTAGGACTTCCTTTTAGAGCTCCCTCCTCTACTGACAAGCCTTCAGTCAGTTCCTAATTTTAAATACCACCTGTGTGTTGAGGATTCAAAGCACTTCTGCCTTGGGTTTGCCATCTACATCCCCAAGTCCTGTCTATAAATGTCTTCATCTGGATGCCTGACTCTAATCTCAGTGTAAACGGCCAGCAAGCCAGAAGGTGGCATCTGGCTTCCTTCTCCACCCTCCCACCAAGCCTGCCCTCCCTGCAGCTTCCTTACTGAAGGACAGTGACAACCCTCTAGCTATCCAAACAAATAATCTAATCAGCACTTTTGCTCTCCAAAAGACATGGGTTCAATTCCAAGCAACTAGGTTGGGCAGCTCACAAATACCTCTAACTCCTGTTCCTAGGAGATCTGATACCTCACAAGCACCTGCACTCATGCACATGCACAGACACAAACATATACACATAATTAAAAATAAAATCTCGGGGCTGAAGAGATGGCTCAGCAGCTAAGAACACTGGTTGTTCTTGCAGAAGACTCGGGTTCGAATCCCAGCAAACACATGGCAGCTAACAGTCTATAACTCCAGTCCCAGGGGATCCGACTGCCTCTTCTGACTTCTGCGGGCATTGCACATGGGTGCACTTACCTACAAGCAGGCAATACACAAATTTAAAAAAAATAAAATCTTTTTAAAGGGGAAAAAAACTCATCAACATAGTTCTAGTCTGTCACATCCCTCTACTTCCCCTTCTGTCGAGTCCACCCTTAAACACCCCTTCGTCAGCTGACTTTTCTCCCACCTAGAGAGCACCACATCTATGTCTCTTCTTTGGTGGCCTCGTCTCTGCCTGTTTTGTCCCCTAAAGAACCTACACAGTAAGGCCGATGCCCTCCTCACTCTGCTCATCTTATCCCAACAGCCTCTTACTTGCACTCGGTCGGATCTCAGCTCTCACCAGAGCCTGCATTCTGTCCCTGCTTCCTTCCCCCTCGCAATCTGTTAGCAGCTCTACTCTAGCATCTTCACTTCAGAACAAAGAACTCTTCCCTGGCTCCAGGTCTGTGCACAGGTTGTGCCCTCTTCCTGGGCACATTTGCTCTCTCTATTTGATGGCTGGTTTTCTCTTTTTTAGGGTCACATTCAGTGTCACCTCCCTGAGGTAGACCTCCCTGACTACTTTATATAAAACCAATTTCTTCAGTGACTCCTTAGACACTACAGGTCATTTCTTTATAGCGCATTCATCAGAAATCATTTATCTTTCTGGCTGACTTCCTCCCTCCCTAGAATAAAAGGAAGCTCCACGAGGGCAGGACCCACATCTGGCGTCTTTCCTGCTGCACGTCTACACAGTACCTGCCATACAACAGGAGCTCAGGGTTTTCCAAATAAATAAGCAGCTGTGACTTCCCAATCAGCCAGCCTTCCAAGCAGGCTAATGTCAGAAACCACTCTACCTATCCCTTTCAGCATCACTCAGACTCAAAGTAGGTCTATTCATGTCACAAGCAGAACCTGATGGCCTGGAGGCTGCAGGAAGGGGCCACAAGCAGGAAGGAGGCACTGGTCAGGGCTTCTCTGCAAGCCCACTTAGAGTTCCCACAGGAGAAAAGGTGGAGGAAGACGCTGCACTGCAAGTAGAACGGTGACAAGAGGTGTAACCTACCCCAAATCATAGCACAGCCCAAGAATATGCTTAAGCAACCGCAGCAGAGGGACCACTGATTTCTAATCAAAGATTGACTCACATTCTGAATAGCCCCAAAGCAGCTGTAGCTACTTGATTATAAGTAATATTTCTAAGACTAACAGATAGTGACGGGGTCGGGGTGGGTAGCATGCATGTACCTCACATGCCAATGGAGGAAATTAGGTTGACAAGAATTCTAGGACTGACATATTGAAAGCATATAAACCAACAGATAGACAATCCATAATCTTTAAACTTACTTTCATGAGTACTAAGAGTTAGTAAGGGTAATAATTTAAGCATTTACTACATCAGATAGTGTTGAAGCAATTCCAAGAAATGTGTCTTTCATATTTTATCATTTGTCTCACTAAAATCTTTTAACATGAGAACATTCAGGGGTGAAATTGTTCAGTCACAAAGTCAATGTACAGTGTAGACAAGGCCTGACAAGGAAGAAATCCAACCTGTGGGCCTGTGCTAATGCCCTATGAAGACCTCATTTACTCCTCAAATATGAACTTCCCATTCACTCAGTGTGCACAGCTTAACAGCCGCCATCTGACTGACACCATTGTTATCTCACATTGCCATCGGACTTCTGATTAGAAATCATACTTGTACAGTGAGACTAGGAGAAATGGATATGGTACTGGTCCTGACAGAACTGCCATACCTCTCCCTGAGAATTTTTCAATATAACCTTCACATCTTCACCAGTGCCCCAGGAGTTCTGATTCTTCCAGATGAGGTCAGTGGGAGGACTGGCTGTGACACCAGCATTTGCAGCCCAAATCTGGAAAAGAGAAAGGACATCAGTACATCCAGAGCCTCACTCTGACATAAGACAAATTCAGCAACATGACAAGATTTCAACTTTTAGGTCTAAGAATTTGTCCCAGCTTTGGAATTGCTACAGAATAGCTGTATGTGGTCATGAGAACTTAGAGAGTTTCTGTCAGCACAAGTTTCCCCAGATGACAAGCAAATATATGGATGTATGAGCTCCTGAAATAAGACTGTCCACACTCCAGTTTAGCTATTCTACACAGCAGCTGATCTAGAACAAATTTTCTACTTTCTTCATCTACAAAAATAGGGCAACATGGTTCCTGTACCAGGTGAGATTGCTCTGGAGAGTGACCACCAATACACAGGAGATGGCTCACTCAACAACAGCAACATTAGCAATCAGTACCCTGCAGGCTATGGGGGTCATTCCTCATTGGGAGAGCATCATTCCTCTTAGTTGAAGGCTGACCTGTAGCAGACAGTCTGCTTACAGGAAAACATGCTCATCAGAGATCGGGTCACAGTAGCCCAGGTCACAGTAGCCCAGAATGTCTGCAATTACACTTCACAAAGAATGAAGGAAATGGATATCCTGCCCCCACATTGCTCAAGGGGAAATAGAACTGCTACTGAAATAGGCCAAAGAAAATAATGATATTTCCCTCATCAGCATGAAAATTCTGTCATATTTTTTAATGTCTTTCTTGGCAAAAGAAAACAGGCAGAATAGGGAAAATTGGCAATTAGAAATCCTAGGTATAGGGGACTGGAGAGATGGCTCAGCGGTTAAAAGCATACTGTTCTTACAGAGGACCTGATTGGCTCTCGGCACCCGAATTGGGCAGCTCAAAACTTCCTTAACTCCAGTTCTAGAGGGCCTAACTCCCTCTGTGGGCACTTGCATGCACATAGTACACATAAACTCACACAAGTGAGCGAGGAGACACAAACACAAATTTTAAAGATGAAACCTAACACCTAGCTATAAACCCAGACAAATTACTATACTTCTATAGACCCAGTGTCCTCAGAAGCAATGATACAACCAGTCCAAATCCTATACAAAAAAAAAATAAATAAAAAAATATGAGAATGGGTAGAAATATGTGTAAATCAATAACTGGTTATGGAATACCAAAGACTACAATTCAAAGGAAAGCTGGAAATGACAAACACAAGCTTACTTATAATGAGAAAGTCTACGACTCTCCTCATTAAGAAAAACCCCTTCCAGGGCTAGAGAGAGCTTAACAGGCAAGCACTCTAGCTGCTTTGGCAGAGGGCCCCAGATTTGGTTTGCAGCACCCACATGGCAGCTAACAACCACCCATAACTCTAGTTCCAGAAGAGCCGATGCCCTCTTTTGGTCTCTGTGAGCACTGTACACACATGGTGCACTTACATACACATGCAGGCAAAACATTCATACATATAAAAAAATTAACTAAAAAAAAGTCTTTCCAAGATACTCTCATTAAGTATCCAGATCTTCCATAAACATTACAAATGGAAAAGGGCATTTACCAAGAAGAAACTGAAAATCATAACAGCACCTGGGCCAACTTTCAGACCGTGTGAAATGTTTTCTGTTTCTAATGTCTTGCAATACTTTTCACTATCTATAAGGAATCACATAGCTGGTTTGAGGTTAATAATACTAAAATAGCCAGGTGTGGTGTGGTGGCACATGCCTTTAATCCCAGCACTTGGGAGGCAGAGGCAGGCAGATCTCTGTGAGTTCAAGGCCAGCCTGGTCTACATAGTGAGTTCCAGGACAGCTGGGGCTACAGGAAAACCCTGTCTCAAAAAGACCAGGAAAAAACAAAAACAAAACCAAACCAAAACAAAACAAAACAAAAAAAAAACAGTGCCTTACTGGGTATTTCAGCCCTAAAACTATTTCCTAGAAATGTTCAATATAGCAGCTACATGAGGCTTCTGAGTGTGGCTAGTCATATAAGAACCATGCTATGCATACCCGAGTTCAAAGACTTATCAAAAAAAAGTTAACATACCCTATTAATAATTTGTGTTGAAATGATATTCTGAACAATGAGTAAAATATAGTCAGGTGGCAGACACTGGTGGATCTCTATAAGAATGAGCCAGCCTGGTCTACATAGTAAGTTCCAGGTCAGCTGGAGCTACTAAAAGACCCTGTCTCAAAAAAGACTATACATTTTTTTCTTTTCCAAGATTAATTTCCTACCTTTGTAAGTTTTTAAACATGCCAAGAAAAATTTTTTAATTTACATATGTATTAAAAATTTCATCTCTGTTCCAGAGTTCTAAACTTTATCTTTGTTTTTGCCTTACAGTTTTATAGAAACATCTCTATCATACCAGCCTTTAATCCCAGCACTCAGAAGACACAGGCAGGTGAATCTCTGTGAGTTCAAGGTTAACCTGGTCTACATGGCAAGTTCCAGGCCAGCTAGGGCTACAGGGAGAACTGCCGCAAAAAAAAAAAAGACCAAAAAAAAAAAAAAAGAAGGAAAGGAGGAAGGAAGATAGATGTCTATCACTACTGTGTCCCAAGAGCTTAATCACATTTAATGTGAGCTACTGACGAAAAACCACTACATTTTCTTAGATGACAGCTGAGCTCTACACAACCACCTATGAGCTAGCTCTTTAGTCCCTGGGGGTAGAAGCCAGTGGATAAAGCAGAAGACTGACATAATGAGAGATAGAGCATATTCAAATCTAAACCTTCTGAAATAAAATACCACATTCTTTTAAATATATTTTTCAGCTTCCCTAAAACATAATGGGACTAAGCAATTTTCTCTCACTATAATAGAGGAATAAAGAGAATTGTTAGAATATTTGTTCTCATTTTCACCTGTTATTACAAAATTAACACCTGCTATTTTCAAAGAGTGATGTCAAAGCTCCATATACTTTAAAGGAGTTCTAACATGCATTTAGAGCCTTTGATCTTAAACATTAAAGTTTTTATCCATCAGATTTATAAACATGTGAGAGGCTAAGGCAGAACTGTGATCACGTTTAAGGCCAATCTGGGGAACAGAGTGAGACCCTGTCTTTAAAGAGGGAACCAGGTGGTCGTGTACGCCTTTAATCCCAGTCCTCAGGAGACAGAGCATTTCCATGAGTTTGAGGCCGGTTTGGTATACATAGTGAGTTCCAGGCTAGTCAGGGCTACAGAGAGATTCCGTCTCAAAAAGAAAGAAGGGGAGGGGGGTCCAGAGAGGGAAGGAAAGACTATAAATATGCTTAAAATAGGTATTTAAATTTTGTGTTTGCTTTTATTATATGTGTATATATTTTATGTCAAAAAGACAAAAGAAAAGAAATTATGCCAAAATCACATTAGTCTGTATAAAACATGCACACCAATGTGCCTATCACCACACAAAGGGGGTTTTTTTGGTCTTTTTGAGACAGGGTCTTCCTGCAGCCCCATCTGGCCTGGAACTCACTATGTAGACCAGGCTGGCCTCCAACTCACAGAGATCTGCCAACCTCTGCCTCCCAAGTGCTGGGATTAAAGGGATACACCACCAAGTCCAGCAAGAGGGCTTTTTCAGAGATATATTTTATCTTTAGTGATGCGCATGTTTGCAAATATGGGTACTTTTGTGTGGGTGAACAGAGTCCAGCAGAGGACCCCTAAAGCTCGAGTTACAGGCAGCTGTGGGCCACCCAATGGGTGTTGGGAATCCAACTCTGGACCTCTGGAAGAGCGACAAGTGCTCTTAAACACTACTCTTCAATCCCCCCTAGGATTTTTTTCTTTGAAGGGGGGAACCACTCCTTCTATGTAGCCCAGGGTGGCCTTCAACCCCAGCTGTGCCCCAGCCTCCCAAGTTACAGGCATGTACAGCCAACTACATCTGCCTAATGACCTTTGTTAGAAATACAGGCCCCTATACTAATCTGGTCAGAGGGCCTTAAAGGACAGTTTTTGCCCCTTGCCCTCCAAGGTAGACTAAGTTCCAGAAGATGATGGAACATCATCTCTCAAAATGTCCTGTAACTGTGGAGGGTCACCTGTCCTCTTGTTCAGGGAGGACATGGAGATCCCACGAGATGGACTTGAACCAGTGTCCAGTCTACAAATTGGATCAACTCAGAGGAAACATCTCATTCATGCTTCCAAGTGAAGCCAGACATGGTCGAGCAGGACCTTTGACTTATCTTCACATAGGCGGAACTGGTAAAAGAAAGGAGCCAGGGGCTCCTCCCAAGCCCATTGTGACCCCTGAGGAACAGATCCTCAAATGACCTTAAGTGTAAAAATAAATTGATTTATGTGGGCCAACTATAGGGTCTTAAACACCCAAAAGGAAAGTATAACCAAAGAGTAATCAGTGTATTTCTTTAAGGGTTCAAGGGATTACACTTCCCAGACATTAGGCTTAAGTCTATATAAAAAGTTAGATAATTATTTCTCATTGATGATTTTGTTCTTAATCAGAAAGTGCTGCTCAGATGTAAGACTTCCAATCTTGGTCTGCAATACTGTAGTGCCCACCTGTAGCTAAGGGAGACAACCTACTATCGTTCTAAATAGTAGATGTATAAATTTGTTTTCTCCCCTTATCTAGAAGCCTTTGAGAGGGAACTGACACTGATTCTAACCACTGCAACAACAACAAATCAAAATACCTGAAAGCAAATCTTGAATCCATCACTCTCAAGTCCAGCCTTGGCAGACAAAAGAAAAATGAGGAGGAGCCCAATAGAGAGATGCTTTTTGGAAACTCTCGTCAAGAACTCCCAATGGACTCTCGTATGAACATTTGAAATTTGTCCTGCTCCGACTTTCTTCTGGTTCCCTGTCTAGAACTTGGAATGCTAATTACTCTTGCCTTTACTTCTCCTTCACATCTCCTATTCACCAGTCAAGGACTTTCTTTCCCCCCTACAGGTAAGAGTTACGCAATCTGGGAGTTTTTTAGATAGACCAACTGAAGCGGTACTCCAATTGCCTCACCCTGTGTCCCTGTTCAGTATGGAAGAAGCCAGAGTAGTCTGCGTTCTGATTCACTATCAGCAATTTGGGTAACCTCTTCAGAGGATGGTGTGATAAGAATAGGACGTAGGAATTGGCTAGGCAGTTAGGGTAAAAAAAAAAAAAGGCCCCGAAGAAAAGTAGCCAGTGTCTTGGGTAGAAGTCAAAATGTCCTTGGGCCTCTTAGCAACATACTCTGTTTCAAAGGCCAAAAATGACAGAAGTATTTGGGAGCACTCATCTAATCCCTAAAAGATTTTAGGGTTACCTCTTCAGAGGGGGATAAGCTTAGAGTAGCAAAAAGCCAGAAGGAAGGGGGGGTAGGGAGGGAGGGAAGGAAGGAAAGAAGGATGGGTACGCAAAGTTGTCAGAAAAAAAGCGATGGGGAAATATGGGAGGTGTTGGAGGGGAGAGAGTGGGCTTATATTTGATCAAAACACCTTATATGCATGTGTGAAATTATCAATAAAGTGTTTTGAAAATTTTTTTTAAAAAGCCAGGCATGGTGATACACACCTTTAATCCCAGCACTCAGGGGGCAGAGGCAGAGGCAGGTGGCCAGTCTGATCTACAAACTGTGTTCCAGGCCAGGACAGCTGGGGCTACAGGGAGACCCTCGCAAAAAGACCAAATAAAAAAAAAAAGTTGAAAAAAAAAAAAAATACAGGCCCCTACTCCAATAGCTATGAGAACTAAGAGATTAAAACATTAAAGCCAGCCAAAGCAATGTAACCACTGTTTTAGAAGCATGCTGGTATTAACTCCTAATAGTTCCTCACACTTGAGTAGCGCCTCCTGAATTACACTAAGCTGCAAGGGTTGGCCAAGACAGCTATTTGAAATCTACTGGAACAGACAAGATAAAATACTGCAAAGGTCTATCAGTTCTTTTCGGCACTCTTAAGGCAGAATTTTAAAAATCTTTTTTCTTCTTTTTTCTTTTTAAAAATATTTTATTTATTATTTTTATTTTATGTATATGCGTGTATTGCCTGCATGTAGGTAAGTGCATCTGTGTCGTGCAATGCCCTCGGAAGACAGATGAGGTTGTCGGATCACCTGGGACTGGAGTTACGGACAGTTAGGTGTCATGTGGGTGCTGGGATTCGAACCTGGGTCTTCTGAAAGAAGAATCAGTGTTCTTAACTGCTGAACCATCTCTCCAGCCCCTTAAAAATCTTTAATAACAAGCATAATGCCTTACTGATGTCAAAGATGTTTTAGAGCACATTTCTAAAATGCTTCTCTTTAGGCCAAACTTTCCTTTTAACTATTTTATCTATAACTCAAGACAATGAAGTTAAATTAAATGACGATGTAATTCACTTACAGTGACAGTCTGGCCTGCCTTCAGCACGTATCTTGAGGTATATTTGTAACTGACTGATGTGTCTCCAATTTTTCTGATCATCTCCCAGCCTCCCATTGGTTGATCCTATTCACAAAACACAATGTAACAAGGTTACTCCAAAAGCACAGAAATTTATGAAATAATCAAGCTCATGAATTCATATAAGCTCTTAAAAGTTAAGGAAGCTCCATGGATGTCATCCCATGATTCATAATTTCCTACTACGGAAACAAAACATGATTGACATTCAGCAAAATAGTAACTTCAACAATGTTGCAGTTAACAAGTAAGGGTCTGAATTTTAAAGAGGATAAAACTAGGGGAAAAATGAAAACCAAAACAAAGAATCACATTCACTGCTAAATCAGTTAAATCATTCATATTTACAACACAATTTAGCTATCAGCATGAACAGAAACACTTCAGATTTGGCGGCCTTCATTTTTGAGATGCAGGCACTTATGGCTGAGCAAGGCAAGGAGGAACATTTGCTCTTTTTTTCTCCAGCATCTGTGCCACCTTTGCCCAAATTTAGCTGTTACCTTAAGGTGCTCAACATGAAGAAGCAATGAGCCAGACCTAGGCATCACTATCAACTCCAGAGCCACCTGATACATGATAGATGAAAGGTAGATGGTAAAGTAATTAGGCTTCACTCTGAAGCACGGGTGGGAAGCCGGCTGAGGTCAGCCCCATCAGCTCCATCCCTGGCTGCTGTGCTTTCGGAGAGGAAGCTACTGTGCCTAGCTTTCCAAATTCTTCAATATCAGAACTGTTTGCAAGACAGCTATATTAACTCTGATGAGAAAGGAAGTAATTTTACAATTTTTCACAGACCCTGACCACATGCTTCAAGTCTTCCTCCCCCATCATCCTAAACCTTCATAGCTCCATCAGAACTACTGAGCTCTTTAAAGACCCAGCTGTAAACTTCTGGATCCCTTCTATGGATATTTTATGTTCATAAAAACAAGATAGGGCTTCATGCCATTAATGTTTTTATATAAACCAGACCATTAGCATTTCTTCATTTATTTTGAGAGGAAAAATATTCCTTCAGCATACTGTGAGCCTGCACTCACTCATACTTCCTTTTCTCATAAATTTATTAATAGCTGCAACTTTTCCATGTATTTGGCTAGGGAAAAGACATATAATTCATCTCTGGGAAGGCCACAATGACAAACTGCCAGGTTGGGAGACAAGGGCCCAGGAACATGGATACATAAACTCTATAAAGAACTATTAATAAAGGGATAGAGAGATGGCTCAGCAGTTAACAGTGCTGACTGCTCTTGCAGAGGACCCGGGTTCAATTCCCAGCACCCACATGGTGGCTAACAACTGTAACACCAGCTCCAAAGATTGCAATGCCCTCTTCTGACCTCCATGGGCATGGCACAACACAGGTATACTTATAAACATGTAGGCAATACACACGCATAGAATAATATTTTTTTTTAAAAAAAAAAAGGATTAATATGAATAAAGAAAACTTTAGGCTGATAAAAAGGGTTCAGTGGGTAAAGGCACTTGCCACCAAGAATGACAACCTGAGTTTGATCCCCAGAGTGTATGTGGTGGAGAGAACTAATTCCTTCGACCTCCACTGGCAACCCAGGCACACAGGTGCCCCCTGCATCCCCCTGCCAATCCTACTCTAAACCACAAAGGACTTTATCTTTCCCTCAACCTCTTATTTTGACTTTTAGTTTATTTCATGAATTTAAGTGGAGAGCAGGAGGCAAACCTCTATGTGAATCCACAGGGAATACAAGGAGCTATTACTATCCACAACAGCCCATTAACCTGCAAAGCCATGCTTGGAAAAAAATAGGTCTATTCTTTGACCTGTTCCGAAGTGTTCTTCAGGCGAATAAATTTCCCATCAACATCTATCTCTTCAACACACACATTCCCGGTGGCTGAGGCAGAATGGGCGATGCTAACACTACTGCTCGCCTCCGATTCTTCAACGTCAACTCTCTTCCGCTTTCCTCTAGTCGTGCGTACACTGCGACTAGAAGATGCTCGGGACACGGTCACACGGGAAGAAGGGCTTGGAGAAAGCTTTAACCTACACAGCAAAAAGAAAAAACAGTTCTGCTAATGGAGTACAAACACATAATCTTACCCAGGTTTTCAAAACTATCCTCTCACAGGCATTTCTAAACAAGAAATTTACAATGTTAGAGAATGCCTATAAGCATCTTAACTAAGATAAAATCTAGCCATGCTTGGGTGGTCACCATTAATTTTACTGCAAAAATCACAGTAACAAACATTTGATTTGCCAAGAAAAATAAACAAAAACAAGGTAATTAGAATGAGGCCTGTGACACAGCCACACCCATTGCCTATTTAGTGCACTCTTCCCCAGTCATGCCTCACAATGTACAAATACTGATTGCCGTTTCAGTCTTATCATCCGCCTTCTCCTGGGGAAGTCTTTTCTGAGAAGAGGTGTTAAAAGGATACATATACTAACCAGATTTGGAATATAAACATAAAGTCTCTTTCTGCAAATTTGTTATTGTACAACATATTAAATTACAGGACATTTAAAACCTCAAAGGAAAAAGTCCATTCTGACACCACCCAATATTTAAAATAATAATGATAAACTAAAATCTATCACTACTTTATCACTATGTGTTAAAATAAATGACAGAGAAAATACTCAGTTTCCTCCATTCTTTTTAAAAGAAATCTTTGCTTCGTCTTCCTAAAAATGGAAGGCAAAAACTAGACTGTCAGGCAGAGTGACTCCCGAGTTTCTTGCCTCTCCTCTTCGCCTTCTAGGAGTTTCCTATAAGCGCTGATCTCCATGTCCAGGGCAAGCTTCACATCAAGGAGTTGCTCGTAATCGCTCAACTGCTGCTCCATCTGGTCCCTTATTTCTGCCATCTCTCTCTCTTTGTCAGACAGCATACGACGAGAGTTGTCTTTCTCCTTAGCAAGCAAATCCTCCAATTCTTGAATCCTTTCCAAACATGCCCTAGACTTCAGATTCAAAGAAACACATTTACTCTCTAGGAATATTTCAACATTAGTATAAAACAGCTTTTTTTTTTTTTTTGGTCGTTTTTTGAGACAGGGTCTCCCTGTAGCCCCAGCTGTCCTGGAACTCACTATGTAGACCAGGCTGGCCTTGAACTCACAGAGATCCACCTGCCTCTGCTTCCCAAGTGCTGGGATTAAAGGCGTGCGCCACCACGCCCAGCTCAAAGCAGCTATTTTAAACCATTTCCTGAACTAGAAAGCAAGCACAGCTCTGGGGGATCCCTATCTTGGAATTCGAAAGATCCTGACTGTGAAAAATTAAATCTGAAAGTTCTTAAAATTCATGGTTCTCAGAAAAGTTTGGATACTAGAGGACTTACTCCCTCAAATTTAAGTTTATAAATGTAGATTGAAGATGTCAGTATTTGGGAGACTGGAAAAATGGCTAACCAGTTAAGAACATTTGCTATTCTTCCAGAAAACCCAGGTTTGATTCCCAGTATCTACATGGTGGCTAACAATTGTCCCTAACTCCAGTTCCAGGGGCTCTGATGCCCTCTTTTGGCCTCCGTGGGTACTACACATGTGGTGCACTTACATACATTAAGGCAAAAACACTATACACATAAAAAATTTAATAAAATTTAAAAAAAAAAAAAGATTTCAGGGCTGGGCGTGGTGGTGCACGCCTTTAATCCCAGCACTTGGGAGGCAGAGGCAGGCGGATCTCTGTAAGTTCAAGGCCAGCCTGATCTACATAGTGAGTTCCAGGACAGCTGGGGCTACAGGGAGATCCTGTCTCCAAAAGACCAAAAATAAAAATAAAAAAGATTTCAGTATTTGGCCAAATACATTTTACTCTACAATTGGGACTGGCTTTCCTGGAAGGTCTTTACTTCAAAAGTATGAATTAACGGAAGAAACAGAAGAACCTAGAAGGATACGTATATTGAAAGTGGGTTTTGGAGAACTGTGGGCATATTCAGGAAGCCAAAGAAAAAGGGGTTCTGGGTAAAAGGAGGGACGCACTAGAGTCTCTGCAAGACTGTTACACTAGCGCAAGGTGAAGAAAGCACACAAAGCCCATGTGCTATATAGGCTGATTTGCAAACTTGCAGAAAATAAAGAAGCTGTATTTGGCATTCAGAGTGATAAATAACACATCCTGTTCCAGGAAGTTCACCTTTGAAACCTTGTACCTCACTGGTAATTATTCACCTATGTTTCACCATGACAGAATTCATTTCTGTAGCCTCAGAAAAGGACAAGGGCAATCAACTCAGAAAGACTGATGGGAGCTGAGGCCTTCTGAGTTCCAATAGCTGCCAGTGGGCAAGAAAGGGGCCTCCTACGTAAAAACGTAAATCTGGAAGGCTAGAGATAAAAGATGACACACACTGTAATAAATACTGTACTACCATTGGTGAATTTATTCCTTACAGAGGTACAGGTGCAAAAATTTTAAACTGTTGTAAACACGTAATGGAGCTCAAAAGTAAATGGATGATAGAAAGGAAGTTTCTCAAGCTCAGAGAAGTTACAAATAAGTGAGAAAGAAGCCAAAAGAAAACCCTGTAGTGTCAGACTTGAGAGACGGCCCAGTGGTTAAGAGCACTGGTTGCTCTTCCACCCATATGGTAACTAACAACCATCTGTAACTCCAGTTCCAGGCCATTCAATGCCCTCTTCTGACCTACATAGGCATTGCACCACATAGGTGTGCTTACATACTTGCAGGCAATATACTCACACACATAAAAGTAATTAGTAGCATTCTTCCAATTTAAAAAAAAAGAACCAGAGTTTCTTAGAGAAATGAATGATTCAAGAGAAATGTATGATTCTAGGGCTGGGGTAAGGAAAATAAATGTGAAGCCTAGAGTACCTTATACCAGGTAATAAGAGGATGCTGGGACTGTAACTCAGTGGTAAAGTGTTTGTCTGGCATGTTGCAAAGCCCAAACTCAATCCTAGCACCACAAGAAAACAAAACCTCCAAATATAGGGGACTAGGGAGATGCCTCAGAGCTTAAGAGCACTGGCTGCTCTTTGGAGGACCTGGGTTCAGCTCCCAGCACACACATGACAGCTAATAACAGTCCATTACACCAGTTCCAGGGGATCCTACACCTTCTTCTGACTTTTGTGGGCACTGTACGACACAGAACTTACATTAACTCAGGCAAAACACTCATGTACACTACATAATTTTTTTAGGTTAAAAAAAAAAAAAAAACTTTCCAAACGTAAATAATAAAGCGTTGGGGTTGGAGAGATGGCTTGGTGGTTTATGTGCACTTGCTGCAGACCCAAATTTGGTACCCAGCATCTACAATGGGCAGCTCACAACTGCCTGTTAACTCCAGCTCAGTGGGGTCTGATTCCCTCTTCTGGGCACTGTATATACATGCATATACCTACGCCTACATGTACTCACACTGCACATACATCCATATACCTACACCACACACACACACACACACACACACACACACACACACACAGGTACACAATAGTAAACCTGACAGCACTTCCAAAGGTGGAACAATCTGAACCAGTCAAGGAAGAGTGCTGGAAAAGCAGGTACACAATAGTAAACCTGACAGCACTTCCAAAGGTGGAACAATCTGAACCAGTCAAGGAAAAGCACTGGCTTATAACCCAAAATTTAATAAGAAATGCTCACAATCCATACTGACACGAAAAAATAACAAACAAAAATCTTTACAGAACAGTTCTACTCAAAGAATTGTAGATCCCTCTCTCCAGGGCATGCAGCTTGATTCGTGACCTTCACTACAGAGGGTGGGTGAGACTTAATGGCCTGCTTCCCAAGTACAGTATGAAATGAAAAAACAGTGGCTCTGTTGACACAGAAAAACCTGGCAAAGACTAATGCAATCACACATCCCCAGTGATTCTCATGGTCCTTGATATGATGTGACAAGACAGACATTGAAAACACATAACCCTAGTCTAATCATGCAAAAAACACCTACAAACCCAGACTGAAGAATATCTATGGGGTCTTAGCCCATCCTCCTTCAGACTCTAGGTGCCGATAAACACGGAAAGTCAGTGAAACTGTCACAGTCCAGGAAGACTAGGTAAGTATGTGGTAAAAGTGAGTAAAACACTCCAACCCCACCTAAGGAATCTGTGTCAACAGATGACTGCTGGGAGGGGCAGAGACGGTTTCCTTCAAGGATGGGACTTGGCAAGTTAACCAGGCTCCAGTGGATGGACTCATACTGCAGAGTAATTGGGGAAACAAAGTAAACTCTACAGGCCATATATATGGAGAGAGAGAGCACATCAAATTGGGTAGGGGGCAATAAGGGGAGATGGGGATAGGATCTAAATACCATCAAAGCACAGTATATGAAAACCACAAAAGTTCAATAAAAAAAAAAAAACTTTTTTAAAGAATTATACTATGACACTGTACCTCAGAGAGCTTTCATTTAACTGCATCTACAAAAACCATTCTATAGGTTGGGCATGGTGATGTACTCCTTTAATATCAGTACTTGGAGGCAGAGACAGGTAGATCTATTTCAAAGCCAGCCTGAGCTACATAATGAGACCCTGTCTTTTTTTTTTTTTTTAAAA